CCCTAAGGCTAACACATGACGAGGCCTTTAAGGGCATTCATGGAAAGAAATACAATATACTCATAAAACAAAATACATCAAATGTAATAAAAATCAAAAGTAGATCATGGCTGTAGATCATGCATGTCTCCTCGCGCTAGAACTCATGTAGATGTCCTCATCAAGAAATGGCTAGTCTAATTTCTTTTCAATTGACCTACTGACTCTTTTTTTTAATTGAATATGGCACTAACGCCTCTCTTTTTTGTTGAGTATATATCTTCTCTAGGTTATGTATGAGCTAAGCACTCCCCCTCTTTATGCCTGATTTTGACTTTTGGCTGCTTTAGTAGTCAGAACATTGAAGCCTAATTGATGATTTTCGTGGAATATTGGAAAGTGAAAATTGATGTGAAAATTTTGTTGTCATTGACTTCACACAAATTTTTTGACGCTCCATGCCTTAACTTTTTTACTTTTTCTAGAAAAGTTGATGAACCATGCAAGTGGTTGATCCTTAATGGATGTTGGGTGCATAGGGCTCATAAAAGTCAAGACTCTTTCTGAAGTGTGGCACTACTGGAGGGAGGGTGGTGGCTTTTGTGGTGAGAAAGTATGTTTACTGATTGCAGCCTAAGTGATGAGATTGTAGACAGTGTAAAGAGGCTGAGGGGTTGAGATAGAAGAATGTAAACAAATTATTGATTCTATTTTTCATTGAGAAGAGAGGAGGCATATGAGCTGAGGGAGAAAGTATGACAGAAAGCAAATTGAGGTAAATGAGAGGAAAACAATAGGAAATTTGCTCAAATTCTATATTGATGCATGATAGGTAGCGAAATTATAGTTTCAATAGGAAATTTGAAAGAATAATAACGAAAGGTAACAAAACATTGAATCCTCAAATTATAGATGTTGAAGCCTTGAAGTATTTGAACTACTGAATCCTCAAAGCAGAAATTAGGGAGCAAAAATATGTTGGAGTTTGTCATTCAGTGCTTCATAACATCGTTTTAGTAAAGTATAAGGGGTTATTTATAAAAATAGTTTGGCAATTAAGAGTCCAAACTACACATGAGGCTTATCACATGATCATCCTATTGAAAATAATAAATTAAAAAAGCAAATTCCTTATTAATCTAAAATATAAATTCATAAATAAAATCTTATCTATCTAGATCATCGTAAATAGGACAACAAGCATAAACAACACACATAATATATTTGTGTTTAAATGCATATGTTGATTGGCGAGTTAGTGGTTTGGTTTGAATTTGTGAGATTTTAGTTAGATTAATTATTGGTAGCTGGTGATTGCCTTTGGAATTCATTAATTATTAGAAGTATTGGGGTTGGCCCATAAAATTGTTTTGAGTGGATTGATACGGAACCGCCTCTTGAGGCGGTTCCTTCTGAACAGCCTCAGCCGGCCCATCCTGGGCCAGCACTTGTATATCAAAGGAGGAAATCTCGCCTCCTTTCTTGACCAAATTAAATTACCGTCTAAGGGTGGGGTCCACGGGATTTGAATTTATTTGAAAATTATTTTTAGGAAAGATTTGAGGAGGTGGAATAGTCTTTAAATATAAGAGGTAAGGGGAAGGGAGGCATGGAAGTATTGTTTTCTTCTTCGAGTTTCTTGGGTGCTTTGGGCTCTAGACTCTCTTGTCTAGAGATTTGGGAGAGACGATCCTCCTCTCGAATTGAGGATCACTTGTATCTTGCTTTCGTATTGTTTGTTCTTTGTTTCCCTTATTGCAATCTATTATTTTGGGCTGATTTCGCCCAGATTTTGGCTTATTTCTCGCTGTTTTGTCTCCAATTAGTAATAGGTTTGCTTGCGAACTCAAGTATTCCCTTAGGGTTACTTGCGAACTCAAGTATTTCCTATCAAATTGGTATCAGAGCGAGTCTTGGGTCCAGTGGAGGTCTGTTGTTGGCCAATTCCAGTAGCAGTTTTTTGGCCGGAAAAAGAAGAAATTGCTGTTTTTTGACTCCAAGATCCAGATTTTGTGAATATACAAACTCCAGATCATAATGGCGGCCAAGAAAGTTGATGCTTTGGAGGAGAAACTCGAAGGAGAGATGAATCACATCAAAGAAACCGTGGAGGAAAGAATTTCGTCCATGGAGGGGCAGGTGGCCGATCTCAGGGACATGATGAAAAGAATGTTGGAACTTCAAGCACAAATGACGACATCCGAAGAGAAGCGCCCCAAAGCGAAAAACACCAATTCCGAAATCCGAAAGGATGAAGAAGAGGTGGAATTCGTGGAAGGGGGAAGAAGAAGGCCCTATATGGAGCCTTTCTGTAGGGAAGAAAGAGGAGATCGACATGGAGAAAGGTATGGATATGGGGGATCGGAGCATGGAAGGGCTGAGTGGGAACGCCATGAGGGGTTTTACGGCCGTCGAGGTGCTGAATTTGAAGGAAGAAGAGGGGATTTTGAAGGGGGTTTGGGCTATGGCAGGGCAAGAGAAGATCGGGAAACTTGGGGTGCACCTAGCACTTTGGAAAGGGGAAACTATGGAAGAATCCGAGGCAATGGGGGGATCAAAAGGTAAGGAAGTTGAAGATGCCCATATTTGAAGGAGAAGACACGTATGGGTGAATTTACAAAGTGGAGCGATACTTCGCCGTCAATGGGCTAACAAAGGAAGAGAAGCTAACGGCAGTCGGATTATGCTTAGAAGGGAAAGCCCTGTCAAGGTTTCGATGGAGAGACCAGAGGAGACCGATCAGAAATTGGAGGGAATTTAAAGACTGCATAATAGAGCGTTTTCAAACCGATCAAGGAGGAGACTTCTACGAGCAGTTCTTTGCTCTAACACAGGAGGGATCAGTAGCAGATTATCGGGAGCAGTTTGAGCACCTAGCTAGCAGGGTGGAGCGACTCTCAGATATAGTATTAGAGGGAAATTTCATGAAAGGGTTGAAGGCAGAGATCCGAGCAGCAGTAAAGGTGTTGATGCCCCATGACCTAGGGGAAGCCATGAAGTTGGCCCAACTGGTGGAAAACCAGAAGAATTTGGAGAAGGGGGCCAGGAGTAGCAGCATCGGGGGCACGTACAGGATGACGACCCCTCCTCTTTTGCATTACTCCCTGGGCCCCACCTCGAGGGGGGCGCATGAACTGCCAGGCGGAACCTCCACCTATTTTCAACTCCCACTTGGTCACAGATCCTGGCTGATCCAGGAGGGACCGGCCCATCTTTTGATCGGTCCAGACCGGTATATCATAAATTCATAATGCTCTTCCTTTATTGATGTATTATAATTCTTTAGTTTCTTTCAGGAACCATAAGAGATTGGGAATATTTGCTTAAAGAGATTGAGAGTATTTGCTGAAAGCTATGTTAATGCATTAAATGTTTAGTCGTCATTTTCAATAGCAATTTGGGAATTTTTTTCATTTATGGTTTTAACCAAATTATGAATTTTAGGTAAGTCCATTTAGGTGTAAAAGAAATTACTCAGACACTTCACTGTCATCATTAGCCTGAAAGTGTAAGATATTGCTCCATTTAGGTGTGGCCCATATCCCTCATAGGATTTCTAATTTAATAAACATGGCTTATGATGGCTTATACTTAGACTTCATTTGGGACAAATTTCTTACTGCTTTTTAAAGTAGCTTTCAAGTACAAAAAATTTAACTTTTGCACTAGTAAGTTGTATTAAGAAGTAGTAAGAAAGTCATCGCAAATGAAGCCTTTGTCGTCATATTTTCAAATCATTGATCAATCAATAGATTATTAGGCTTCACATATATAGTTTATTTGGATTTGTTCTTTTATTGATAGTTAGGTTTATGTTTGAAATAAGAATATTAAGATGGATACTTAAAATTTGGAAAGAAAAATTTAGTGATTATATTAGAGGAATGGTTAGAGTCACAGCTATTGAAGATGAAGTAGTTGAAGATAGAATTAGGTAGCATGGACATATACACCAAAGGGTAGAAAATATACCCTTTATATGAGTAGAAAAAATTAGTGCCTATTAATTTGGAAGAAAAATGCCAAACCTAAAGTAACATGGATAGAAGTTTTTTAAAATTATTTATGAAGAATAAATCTAACACTTCGGTCTTGCTCAATAGGTATAAATAGAAAATGTGGATGTATAAGACTGACCCCAAAAATTTGGCTGCAGTTATTGGATTTTTGGTTATTTTCATATTTGTGATTATCGCTCTTTTTGTTATTTTCATGTTAAGTGCAAATGATGTTTACTTGTGCGCACATGGAAATATTCAGGTCGGGAATGTTGATGCTCTAAATTGTTACTATGCTCATGGGGAGAAAAATCGTTACTTTCAGAGGCGAATTTATTGGATGTTGGACCAGTAAGTTTGAGCACTTTTAGCAAATTTTATTGTTGTTCTTTTGCGATATTACTGCTTAGTTGTTTGTTCTTAGTTGATCATTTCTTTTGCATTCGCCTTTCTTAACAAGTCAGCACTCGTAACCTTTGTTGAATTGTCAAAACGTGACACATGCTTTTAGTGATCATGATCTACTTGATTTTTGTATATATAATTCTTGTAAACAAAAAAAAAGAAGAAGCTGGTTTGTATTTTGTTATCCGGGATGCATGAGACAAAAGTGAATAATAAGAAAAAAGATTGATTGCTGCTGCTGTTTGATAGGCACCGGACAGTGAATGTTGTGTGATGTATAAAGTGGTGAATCTGATGTGATTATGAAATGCTAGTTGGTCATAAGATGCCAAGCACTCGATTGATCTTGCATTGAACCTGTTTGTGTTACAATGTTGATTATACGGAACCCTATTTGAACATTTTAAATGATGATTTCATGAAACTTAAGTAACAATAAATTGTACTTTTGCATCCAATTATTTGTTCTATTAACAAAGGATACTGATATTTTCTTGGAAATTTGCTTTTGGCTTTTGATGATACTATCCATTGCTTTGTCTGATTCTTGTTGGCCTGGAGTTGCTGGCTTTGCATTTCTGTAGGGAAAGACTTTTAATTGCTTAGCATTAATATTCATCTGTTGTCAATTAGTCTATTTAACATGCGTCGAGGGTAGGCATGATACATGAAATTCAACATCTATGTATTTCAATAAATAATTTAAATATTATTTATTAAAAATATCTTGAATTTTTTTAAATAGGTGATCCCATGAAAATTCATTAAACTTGTTAAATCATGTTGTGCTCAATATGAAGAAATGTCTACTTGCATGCACATAATAATTCAATGGAATTATAAAACTTGACAAATAATAAATCCTAGGTATGCTTCACTCCCTATATTAGAGAATGAATTTCTCACCTAAATTATAGGGTTTCTTCGAGACACAGTTACCATCACCTTCTTGTTCATTTGTAAACAAATTAATAATAATAATTTTCTCAAATTAAGGCAAATTTTTAATTTGTCTCATCTAAACTAAATCAATTAATATCAAATAATATTTTTACCACAAATTGTTTTCTCTTCAGTTAAGCCTTCAATCCTATAACTTAAATCCAAATTCAATTTGTGGGAAAAGATGCAAAATTAGGATTCTTATGAAAGTTTTGATTACTCCTCTTCCCCTTTTTCTTCTTTCTTCCTCTCCCTTTTCCTCTTCTTCTCCCTCTCCTTTTCTTCTTCTTCCCCTCTTCTTTTTCCCTTATTCCCTTCTTCTTCTTCTTCCTTTTTGTTTTCTTCTCTGTTTTCACTACCCGAGAGTCTTTACCCCTTTTATTTCAGAATTTTTACCTCCAGATGCCGGTTAAGAGATGGGATAAGGATGGTTTGGGATAAACATTACTCTAGCTTAGGTTAGTATGATTATTAGTAGATTTAATTAAATTTAACACTCATTTAAAATATACTAACAACTATTGCCAGAATTTGGAGAGAAGCTAAAATTGTTATATTAGATTAATCTGCTATAGTAACATTAAATTAAAATCTTTAGGAAAATTATTTGATAGTTGATTTAATTTATAAGTGCTATTATGCTTAATTATTTATATATTCTTCTATATATTCAAATGATGGGAATAAAATGTAGAGTTTATTAGAAATATTTAGAAAATTTTGGGATGTGAGAAAAGTGGAGTATACTTTTTAAGGAGAAACTTCCACTTTTTTGAAAACTGTGTTACCGCATTCCACTTTGATGATTAGCAGTTCGGTTCTACTAACTGCTTTGGTTTCTGAAAAAAGCTTTTATGAGCTGTACTACTAGCCATTTGTTATCTGTGCACTTTTCCAATTTTTTTTTCTGGGTGTTTATGTAAGAAAATTTTCTATCTTGTTTCATTTGTATCTTAAGTTGAACTGTAATATTTCTAAACTCAGATTGACTTTTCTGTGGTAAAAACCGAGGTAAGAATTTTGACTTCTGAAAAATATGCTCATGTTTGAGTGACTTCTTTAAATAATCTAATAATATTTTCATGCTCATGTAGTGCATCCAATTTGACTTTTAATAGGACACAATGAAGAAAAAGGATTCATGTAGCCGACCCCACGTAGTGGGATAAAGGCTTGATGTTGTTGTTGTTGTTGTTGTAATGCACCCAATTGCTACCATTTTAACTGGTTCGTTACAAGTTGTTACAAGTTTGAATATGGTAACTCCTGTAGCATAACATCATACTAGTTGAAGCTATTCTGTGGTTGGCGCTTAGCAGATATGTTATTGGTCTAACTCTTGTGATTTAAAATTCCGAATGAAACATCTTCACTAAAGCCAACTTGATTAGCACTTTTATATTGTGTTATTGGCGTGGATACGTTTGTAGCAATGTGAGCACATCCATGCCTTACACCGAAGTCATGTTTGAAACCAAGCATAAAAAAAAAGTTTGAAACCAAGCATTCTTTAGAGGTCTCTCTCTCTCTCTCTCTCTCTCTCCTACAAACACACCATTTTGTGTGGTATTATGTGCAATTTATAAAGCTTGTTTATAAGATGATATAAATGCCAAAACATATGTCTGTCAAAATTCAATCAAGCAATTGTCACAACCTAAATTTAGTCGAGTCTGCCTAATTGAATGAGTCGTGATGAACTAGTCTTACTAGCCAATTCACCGTATGAACAATCTTAACCAAACAAAACCAATCGAATAATTGAGACAAGTGACCATAATTGAAGGTGAAAAAAGCCTTTTGGTGTCACCCAAATTCCATTCGAGTCCCACAAGCTAAATGGATGATTGTATCTTCCTCAATGATGAGTTGCCCATAGTCTTGACATAGTAACACTTTCCAACATGAGTGTATGATGGAGACATCAGAGCATGGAAATTATATCAGAGGCGTGGCCATCGATCTACGGCCACGATCGAGTCGATGTATTTTTGAGTGATTTCATGTATTTGTCTTTTATTATGTTATTTGTCTCTTATTATTTATGTTGTATTTGTTTTTCCTTTTTTACCCCTTACTTAAGGGAGGTCATATGTAAGCCCTAAAGGGCATTGTAGTCTTTTATTTTGAGTCCTCTTATACACGGCTATTTATAGCCCATATGTTCCTCTTCTAAAGTTTAATGATTGAATGATAAAAATTTTCCCCTTGTTTGAGTTCTTATGAGAGCTTGAGAGATTGGAGTGAGGTCCCTTGAAGAGGGAATTTGGATCACCCACCAACCTTGGAGACGGCCAGGTTCGTGGTTCTTTTCATTATCTATTTTCCCCTTTTCCTTCGTCACCTTGCTGCCGGCCACCTAAACCTATCCTGCCGGCCATCATATCCCCACCTTCAACCCACCAAAATCCCCCCACAAACTCCACCAAACCACCGGCCCTATCTCCCTCTTTCTCCCTTCCAAAATTCACATCCCCTCTTGAATACATTCCATAAATGATCTCTCTTAACTTATGAAGGTTTAATTTCAAATTTCAAAATAATTTGAATTTGAAATTCTTTCATAACTTAAGAAATCTATTTTAGGAAAGTTTCCTAAATTAAATCCTATTTGAATTTCAAATTAATTGAGATTTAATTAAAACTTTCCTAATCTCTAAATCCTAAATAGCAATCTAAATCTCCCCCACAAATCCCCTCCTAGCCCAATGATGCCGCTGGCCCCCCTCATTAAAACTCTTGGGATTTATTTCCAAATTCCCTAACCCTCTCTTGGAAACCTTTCCTCATTCCCCTTACCTCTTTTGGCCGAAATTTCCACCAGCCCCTTCTATTTAATTTCTTTCCAATAGGGAACCTTTCCACTTGGAAGTAAATTAATCCCTTCCCCTCTCTCATGCCCGCCGCCCTTACCCTCCCTCTCTCCTCTTTAATTATTCCCAATCATAGGGATTAATTAGAGGATTGTTTGAAACCTTTTCCCTCCACTTTAATCTCCCGAAATCTGAACCTAATTTCCCCAAACCTTTCCCCCTTGGCCGGCCACCTTCTCCCACCTTCTCGTACTTGGATTCTTGAAAGAAACCCCTTTCTTTCAAAGGGAAACGGCAAGGACAGCAAAGGATCATCGCCTTCAACACTTCAACGCTACTAAATCAATGCATGGCCGATCCCGACCTTGATTATGGCCTTGTCTATGACGAGCCAGGTTTCGTGCACATCCTTCACTCCACGTTCTTCGACGTCAATTCGAACATCGACAACACCGTCGAGGAATACACGGAGCGCATTCTAGATACTCTCGTCGAAGCCATAGAGGAACAACTTGGTACCGTTCAGTGGAGGATTATGTCCAAGCCGTGACAAAGGTTTTCCAATCTTCCTACTCTCGTATTTTCGTAGTTTAACTCTCTTGTGATTTGATTTTATTCATGAATGTCTTGTTCGCCTATCTCTGCCAAGCCTAGTAATCGTCGGAATTGAGTTAGCTTTCTATGCTTCTAATCTTATTGTTAGCGTAGGGATCTTGTTGAAAGCTACTACATTTGCTTACTATTGTGATTCTAAGTTATTTGATAATTCAAGCGTTTGGCAAGTAGCTTAGCCTAAACTTAGGCACCCCTCTCTTGTTTTCTTTTGTCGTTTTGATTGCTAATAGTTTTAATCTTGATTGTTTTATTCAAGAAATCGTGTAAATTTTTATCACATACATTTAAAACATTTTAGTCAAGAAATTGTACATTTTTTAATTAAATAATAAAATAATAGAAAATTAATGTTCACACCAATCAACCTAAGTATAATGCACGCCAACTAAGAACCAAACTCCTAAAACTAAAACATTAAATAAAACAAAGAAAACTCCAAACTCCTAACAAACCTAAGCTCTCTAAGCTCTAGCTTCTAGTAAACTCCAGCTCTTGTAACTGCCAGTCCTGAACACCCGGAAACAAGTAAAAAACTAGTATTGTAGCGCAAGGTGATAAACAAAACTTGTACCAAAAAACTAGTACTAAAAAAAGAGAAAAAACTAGTATTGTAAGCAAAGCTAGTACTAAGACAAAACTAGTAAGAAGAGCTAGTACTGTAAGAAGAGCTGCTACTGTTGGCAAAACCAGCACTGAAACAAAACACTAGTGCTGGTATCGAGGCAATGAAGTGTGCAAAAATACATAACTGCTTCTAAAACCCCATTAAGCTAAGCCTTATAGGTCACTTCTAATAGAATCAATAAATCCTACTAATAATCATTTCACTAAGTAAGTCTACTAAGTGAAGCAATGAAAACCTAAAATTAAAGACTAGCAACCTCTAATAGAGGTCTGATGGACCGGTTCGGTCCATAGCAACACCGGCCCTTAAAGGGCCGGTTCTCACTTACTGCAGGCGGAGAACCCGCCTGCCTGGGCGGACAAGCCGAGGGGGGGGGGAAAGCTCTCGGGTGGGCCCCTTGGGCCCACCAAATTGAAGAGAAAGGTTGTGGTGTTTTCCCTAGGGGTAAGGAGGGGATTTTGAGGGGTTCATGTGAAAGTTAAAAGTGAGTTAGGGTGGTTTTTTGGAGGGATCTCATTTTGGTGGCTGTTTTAGTTTTCTTTTTCTCTAGGGCTTGGGA